AGAGAGAGCAGTGGGACGAGCACAAGAAATTTAAAAAGAAACAGGGCATTCTGTCAGTCAACCTAAACCTGGAAAAAGGCTAGAATAATTTTTACAAAATCTTATTTGTAAACACATATGGAAAAGTAACCCAGCAACAGCTGGCCATCGTGGATTTGTCAGGCACAAAGTACACCATACCCCACTACCAGCCATTCCCTTCTTTGTGAAAACTAGCCTGGTGGCCACAGGCACGCGGGATCCCAAATCTCCCTGTTGCTGTAAAGGCCTTGGCATCCTGTGAAGTCCTCACAGGTGAAACTCATATCGACCATAAGGAGAATCACAGGAGTACTCAAAGAGTAATCACCAAAGGCTTACTGGGAACCTGGGACTCAAGCAGGGTCCACACGGCTCTGTCTGGGATCTATCCCACGCAGTGTGTTCATGAACAACTCTGGCTATAGAGTAAAAGAGGACATCCGCAAGACTTCCCCATGACACCACACTTGGTTGAACTGTAAACAGCATAGCAGACAGGACTAGATTGGTGGTATCTTGATAGATTTGGTCTGAGACCCATTAGAGACAGGTATGCAGGCACTAAACACATAGGCACAAAATGGAGATTATTAGGCTGGACAGCAGTGGTACCGCAACGGATCTGGGATGTTTGCAGACCAGGAACTGCATGCAAGTCCATGTGATGCTGTTGCAAAAAGGCGAGTATCGTTCTAGTGTGTGTTAACAGTACTAATGTACGCAAGTGCCAAAGTTAATTGTTCCAGCTGCTCTGCACTAGTCTCAGCCAGCACTTGGGCTCGCATTTTGGACCACACGATCGCAGAGCACAGTCAAATGGGGCAGGATCCAGAGAAGAGCATCAACAATCACGAGACTTAGGAAGAGACGTGACCCATGAAGAGTGATTCAATTAACTGGGTTTACTTAAAAGGGAAGACTAGAAGGAGAACATGACAGTAATGTTCAAATGAGGGCCTTGTTCATCACATCTACTGTCAACAAGAACAATCAATAATTGACTTAATTTGCAGGGATAAACACTTAAACACTCGCTGTGATAACTCTCCAGCTGTATGGCTCAGCAGTGGTGCGCACTGCTTACAAGGTCATGGGATCCTTCCCATTGGAAGCTTTCAAGAACAAGTCAAAGAAACGCTTGTTAGTTTGTTTCAGCAGATTTGATCCGATCTCAGACCAAGGAGATGGACTGGATAACTTTTTCAGATTTCCCTCAGTCTTTGCTTCACTAAAAGATCTCCAGCGCTCAGTGATGTTTTGCACGCTGTTTGCCATTTTGTAACAGCCACGAATAGGAAACGCACAAGTACGCTTGCCATGCCAACACAGTGCTGTACCGACCTTCACTTTGTATATTTAATGGACAGTATTTTTCAGAGGAAAGCTGTGCCGTATTTCCTGAAAAACTTGAGGCACTGTGTGAACCGGTTCCTGTTGGATAAGTGTCGGGACAACTACAGATGACTCCTTTCCCAGAAACCCCAATGCTAAAGGCCATATAAGAGAATTGTAAAATATACGCTCAACTTATTCCACCTTTTTTTTGAAAGCTACCAAGATAACAACTCCCTGTGAGTCTCTATTGTGCCTTATCTATATAAAAGCCATAACACAATAGACAATGCATTAAAAAAATTCCAAATAACTTTCAAAACAGAATTCCGCAGACAGAACTTTACACCCTCCCACTGTCTGGACTAGCACAACATCAGTGATGATGCTACAGAATATGGAAAATTACATACTGAACATCAGTCCAAAGCTGAGTTTTGGGGCTGAATTCAAAGTCCACTGCAAAACCTCTAAGGTTCTAAATTGGCAATGCCCCAAAATTACACAAAGCAGAACGGGCCTCAGTAGACAGAAATACGAGCTGACCTTTACTTTGTTAATGGATTCTGCCGGACTGACCAAGCTGGAAAGACCACGTTTTTATTAAAGCCAAATACTCCTCAACTTGTTTCTGAGAAAATGGGAAACAAAACAGACCTCAAGCCTATCAGTAGTTACGACAAAAGAAATTCCATCTATTAGCTCTTCTTATCAAGACAGGAAAACAGTTCAATATATTTACAGAAATGCTACAAATTCTTTCATTACTATGTGGTTTGCAAACAGCCCGTGGTCATTAGCTTTACTTGAGCTGAAGTGGTTTCAGCTCAACAGCAAATAACCAAAAGGGATAGTCTCCAGGGACGTTTCAAGAGAACTGCACAAAGCCAGCTACTTTCTTAAGGCTACATAGTAACTGTCTTCAACTTCTATTTCGATTTTTCACACAGCTTTTTGATCGCAAGAAACCAGAAACCCTTAGAGATGGGTACAGCAGAGGTACAGAAACCAGCCTAGGTCAGTCTGAGTAACACAAATTGCAAAACTGTTCTTGATTACTCAGTAGTCAAAGATGGCCACCTCCTCATCATCACACATGCTAACTTTTACTCTGGGATCTAAAGTCAGACTTTTCAAAACATTTTAAGCCCTGCTTAAATTGCTATTTCAGATGCTTTTTAAAGAGATCCCTGAAGAGATGCAGGCTTCTGAAAAATCCAAAATCACTCTCTACAGCTGCTCCACAAAGTATACATGACAGCTGATGCCCACACTGACAATGCAAGAACCCTTTGCCTAAATGCTGTCCCTGTGCAAAGGTGAATCCTTCTCAAGGGAACGTGGGAAACGTTCCATGCCTCATTTTCTTTCTTGCGAAGTTAGCTTCAAGTTCCAGGCCTGTCCACAGCCAGGAAATTAATTTTTTAAGTGCAGTAATACTTGTTTTTAAAAGCAGGCAGGAAATATGACATTTTACATTTTAGTTTTTTAATTCTCTTTAATCAGACACTTTACAATGCACAACTGTGTCTTTAGCCAGGTATCAGAGTGCCGTCCTTCAGATCAGGAAAAGACGATGGAGAACTCCTAGTCCTTCCTCTGACCTTTTAGGCACAAGGAGCATTGCAGATACTCTAAATGAGGAGGATGATCCCCACATTTAGTACAGCATTCCTCCTATACTTACAAAGCCTTTACAACAATTCAGTCACAGCTTTCATTTATTTCTGTAATTCAGATTGCAGCTACTGCAGCAAGGAATCTTACTGAACTAAGGATCTCCCTTGCCTTCTAACACATAAAACCCCCCATCATTTCATAGGGTATTTTCAACTCCAGCATCATAAAGTTTTGAAAATACAATTCTAACAGAAGTTAACCATGCCACTAGTGATGCAGCTTTCCAGTTCTTCAGTGCTCATTAAGAGAGACTGTTTATGAAACAAAGTCTTTTTATTTAATGCTACACAATCTGAATTGAAGGAATAGAACAGATACTTCACCTCAGGTCCAAGCTATAGGGATACATCCCAGAACATTTTCCAAAGTAAAACCAGATTACCAATCGGTGCCAGAAACATCTTTATCCATTTGCACTCAGCGTATTTTTTAGACAAACTACAGTGTCAGAACATTTAAGTACCTCTCCCCCATACAGCACAAAGGTCGAGAACAGATTTCTTGCCTTGTGGGAGCCAGTTTGTCAGGATATACGTATTTATAACATTAAAGAAAAATAAATGAAGCGTTACATTCTGATGTCAGGTGTACAAGTGCCGTAGTGGATTACTCTCAGAGGAGAACATCATTATCTATAAAAGTTAAGTGGTATACAGGTTATCCTGGAGTGGCTATAATACAGAGAAACTTTATGCCAAAATAAGTATTTACAGAGGTACTGTCACAGCAAAGAGGACAGGAAGCTAGTCTCACAGAAGTAGTTCAATAAAGAGCAAATGAGTGGACACAGACAAAGGCTTTGACTTTATATAATAAAATACCAAGTGCATTCTTTTAAGTGAATGAGTCTTTGAGACTATGGTCCTAGATTTTTAGGAAGCCATTTGAAGGTCAGATGTACAGTCCCGCTGCGTAGCAAGGGTTACTTGGACTGTCAGAATTTTTATATCCATTGTAACCTCAGTAAATCACAGCAATTCTAGTATTGCTTCTTACTGCAAGGTCAAAACTAAAGCTCTTCAATAAGCCCCCTCCAAATGCCAAAGGTGGGATTTTGGATAAGCAGACCTTCTAGCACAATTCAGATGTTTCTCCACTACTTCTGTGCTGTACATCTGGGATTAAAACTGAGCCCAGAACACTTTTAGGGTAATTATGTTTAGCTGCTCAAATATTCTTGGCCAGAGAGTTATTATCCAGCTTTTTCTTGTCAATGCAACTTTAATCACATCCGATTTCTTAAAGTAGCCATATTATTTTTAGTTACTTTGGCTCTTTTCCAACAGGCTTATTTTAAGCTGGTTGTGAAGAAAGGTTATTAAATGGCTGGCTATTTTACATAGCTCTTGAAGAGTTGCTACTGAAATAACCAGACACATTCAAGGGGGAACATGTGTGGTTGACTGCTCAAAATATCATTAAAAATCTTTTCAAATCAGTGTTTCAAATAAGAGCAGAGTTGCTTTAACCTAATATTTGCAAACAATTTTCAAGCCAGCATACCCAGAAGCATTCAATCCTGTCGTCTATCAGCTTCCTCAGCCACCTACCAAATACAAAGGATAACGAGCATAGCAAGAGTCTCTCCAGTGCATGGTTTCAAGGAACATGATCCCTCACAATAAAGGAATCTCATTCGAAACGGCTTGCAGCACCAGACTCCAGTACACAGGACAAACGCGTAGAAGGAAGTCTCACACAATTCTCACGCAGCTTCTAGGGAGTCTGCTGCGCCTTGAGCCAACAACTTGACCGCTAGTGCGTGGGCTCAAGCAGGCAGCAGCGCACTGAACAACAAATCTGAGCGGCTTCCCTCTTCACTTAAGATTAATTTACTGTAATGTACATTACTTTCAGTGGAATGACACTGCTCATGTTTTGGCAGGATGGGGAAAATTCCACTTTGTCTTTCTTATTATTTTATAAGGCAGATAATGCAGAAAGTTGAAACAGAACTTCTACAAGGATTTAATCTGTGATATTGTAAAATCAAAGTACTACTTTATTAAATGAGTTATTTTACACAATATGAACATCAATATAATTACAATTGTAAAAAATTTTTTATAACAAGTATGGACTGATTTTTCAGGATTTCCAAATAGGGCACAACTGTACATTTACACAGAATTGTCTTTGCATGAAGCCCGAGAGGGAACAGCTTAAAAATATGAATGTTTCTGTAGCCCCTTCATTTTTGCTGATCAACAGTTTTAGAAAAGCAGCTGCAGGTTTGTTATGTAAGGTCTGACAGTAGAAGAGTCAATAGGTGCCATGATTTCACCTATAAAAAACAAGAATAACTCAGTTAAGCTGAACTCTTACACAATGCTGCTTACCTTTACGTGAACGAAATTCCATAATACTGCTTTTTATCTCATTTCAGTCTCCTATTATAACCACTTTCAGATACAGACTAACAACTGGACACTGGGAAATCTCTTCTACAGTTAAGGCAGAGGATAATTTTTATATTTGAATGCAGAAAAAACTGCATTAATTTGCACAGCTTCACGAACAAAAAGGCTCAATTGTTGGAAATATACTAAATAACTATTTCCATTACATGTTTTCTAGCAACAGACAGATTGCATTTACTGTATGTATTTTGTTCAAAGAAAAACTAACATTTCAATGCAAGAACTAAGTAAGAAAGTATTCCTACAACTCTACGGATGAGATTTGAAATAATATTAATTCCTTTTAGAACAACCTCCATGCACAGTGAAATACCACAGCTATTTCACCTATGTATTACCTTGCTTCTCCTGTGTAACAGTTCAGGGGTATAACTTTTAGAGTTAATTTTCATATTAAAAGAAATGAAGCAAGTTTTAAGTCTCTGTTGGTGGTAGTAAAAAACTGATCTATAATATACGTCAGACAATCATTTAAAAATTAAGGTAATGACCTGCAGACAACTTTACGCCTGAACATCAGCCAATTCTGGAGGAAGTGGAGTCTTAGGATGCTTGCTTTCAAAGTGCTGTTTGAAGGTCTTGGGATCCGGCATTTGTGTCTGATTAAAGAGAGACATTTAACTTTATGCACAGTACAAGAGTTAAATGATACTACAAAACCCGTTTCCCCCATGTTTTATTTTCTTTTTCCTGAAGCAAATTGTCTCCTCAATGACACTGCTCTAGTGACAGAAGCACTATTAATTTAGCTGCAAATTAAGAGAGAATATTTAACATCAGATTTTTTGAAAGGTGCTTTTAAGAACTAGTATCATACTGTTTTGGCATGTTCATCAACGGTATTATTTTTGCTAGAAATCTCCCTGCAGATCTTACACTTCACACGCTGTTTTGGTGCAAAACCTACCTCCTTACCATTTTCTTTTTTTGGTGTTTTGTTTTTGTTTTTTTTTTACCTAAAAGATAAATGTTTATCCTTTACAGAATCAAATCCTCATGAAAGCTATTTCTTTTGTTTATCAACAGACCAAAGAGTTACATGGCACAGACTGATTCTTGGCACAAGCTATCTCAGACCATCACTACTACCAGTTGCAGGCATCAAATGCCTAAAGTGATTGCTGCTACAGCCTGGTTTCACAAGAAGAGGAGCTGGTTGCAAGTACTTAAGTAAGCAACCCTTAATTTGAAATCTTATTTAAGACATTCAAAGTGACAAATCTATTCTGGGACTGACCATTTAAGTGAAAATGGCAAGTTCATCCTTCAACTCCAAAAAGAACACATTCAGGAAAATCAGCCAGAAGGAAAGTATAATCTGATTAGCGCTCACATTTCTGTTCTCTTGTCAAGTAATTTATTCTAGTAGAAGTTACTGTGTATCAAATTTACACTAAAGCTTTTGGCACCACCACTTTTCCACTCTACATTAACATCAGTAACCAGTGATTCTAAGATGGGCCAATTCCATCACAAAGAAAACGTGTTTCTATTTGCAGATTAAACAGCAAGTGATCTCACACTTCTTACATTTTGTACATAATACTAACAGCACATGCTGACCCCTGCAATCCAAAAGGCAAGATAACTACCCAAACCAGAGCTGAACATGACCTCTCAAATTTTCTCATATCTCAGTTATCAGTACAGCTGAGTAATCTGTAAGCAAGTCACATAACAGATGCAAATGCTTATGGCAACAAGCTAGACAGCCATTTAAGAAATATTTTAGTTTCCACTATGTAATCTAAAAATCCTGCTCTAGGCTGGAAGGCAGACTTGCCTAGAATAACATTTCATTGTCAGTTCCTCTTACCCTACAGACAGTGCAGGTATATATCAAGGCAGCCTTGGCTGCAGCCTTCTGATCATGTCCTTGTTTCTTTTTTTGCTCAGCTTGCTTTTTGGCATTTTTCTGCTGGGATTGAATCTTCTGCTGTCCACGAGCCATATCTACAAATAAAAAGAAGACATTTAGTCTACAAATGTGAGAAACTACTGCTGCTAGCTGACTCAGAAGCCATAACCATGAGCGTAAAGCAGTCATGCGCTCTGTCCATAAGGCCTACAACTCCCATAACTCATATACAACAGACATCTGTTCAAGCTCTTTATTATGTAAAGACTCCCTGGTTTTAGTACCGTTCTTAAAATATGCACCAGAATTATTAGGCAATTCTAAGGTTTCTTTCTCTACAAAGCTTAAAGGTCTACTTTTGAAAAGTGTTTTCAATAGTCAGAATAATTAAAGTTTCCTTCACAGTTAATAGAAACTTATTCTCTATTTCCACAGCACAGTAAAATTTAGGTTGGTTTTTTTTGTTTGTTTTTCCTTTTCTCTTAAAGCACAAGACTCAACCTTTATATCCAGAACCTGAAACAGGTTTCAAGAAAGGCAAATCACAGTATTAGCCAAGCTGTACTACTGTCTTCTGGTGTATGTGCTTGTGAGCTGCTTTGGACTTGCGAACGCCAAGAACAATCGGTTATCCTTCATTATTCAAGGCTACTTTTACAGATGACCATTCTTTTTAATTTTCAGCTGACTTCACATGCATACCTACATCTTGAAAAGAAGTCAAATTGCCCCCATCAGAAGCCTTTACTCTACATAACACAGCAGCATAAAGGAAGCAAACACTATTGCCATATACCATTAGAAGGTCCACCACAAAAAGACATGATAGACAAAAAAAAAAAATCACATTTCAGGGAGCAGCAAATCAGCATATTTTACAACAGCAACACTTCACCTGCATGCAGCCCACTGGGCCACGCAATTCAGCTTGCACCCCACCCCCAGATCAGACACCAGGCAGGATTTGGGCACACGGACAGCACAGGCTTCAGCGCATGGTTATATAAGCCAGCAGCCCACTCTCCGCTGTTCTTTCTCACACTCCCTGGTGGCCCACGCACAATCCAGTTGTGCAGCTCTCACTGAGGCACAAGACTTACTATGCAAGCACAGGACAGCTAGTAAAGGCTAATGTTTTCAGGAGGTCGGCTGGTTGGTCTCTGCCCCTCAACGCACTGTGAGCATTCGCTGTAAGTCTGGAACTCACGAGACACACTGTGTGGCTACAAGCAGCCCGTCATGCAGTCTTTCCCACAAGGACAGACAGCCTTCCACTGCAAGAGTGAGAACGGCCTATCCAAACAAAGACTGACCTCCAGTAAATATGCACGAAAAGCCCTTAAAACCATCATGAAAATGAAGTTTCTATGACACATCAACTACATCTGGAAATTTAATAGTACTGCAAGAATTTCTGGACATGTAGCAATCACGGTGCTCAACAGTGAGCAAAAAGACGGTCCCGAGACCCCAAACAGCTCTCGCGGATTGTAAGGCACTGCTCATGCCACAGTCTAGTTCCCTCATGGTATTTAACACCACCAAAACTTTGCAGAAGTATTACACTACATCTTCAGCGTTCCCTCTTCTTTCCCCATCAGTTTCTCAAACGGAGAATTTAGAAGTCCGTATGACTAACAAAACTGAACACAAGAAAACACAAATTCTATTAACAAGCATACAGAAGTACATGTGGCATTCAACAGTCTCCATAAGATACAGCACTGAACGTTAGAAAGACTAAAAATACCAGCCTATTTTTCACTGTATGCTGCAAGTTACTCTGAAACATCTCAGTCAGGGCCTCACACTGTTTACGTACAGCATGGCTCAAGGAGAACACTAAATTTCTATTTTCCTATTTAAAAAAACAAAACAAAACAAAAACAACAACAACAAAAAAAAAACCACAAAAAAAAACAAAACAAAACAAAAACAACAACAACAAAGAAAAACCACACAAAAAAAAACAAAACAAAGAAAGAAAGAAGATATTGCCAATAGCTTTGCATACACTGGAAGGAACTGTAGGTTTTATTTCGGTTCTATTTTACTAGCACTACAGTAATCCTCCAGAAGTCAGCGGTTCCTGATAGAAAATACTCAGATGCAATAAAATAATTATTTTTCAAAAAGTGTTTGTGTATTACTTTGTATTTCGGTCCCTTGATAAGAGCTTGTTAAGCAGTACATTGCAACAACCAAAAACACTGAGCTTGTACGTATTTGGCAACTACTGGTTTCAGTTAAGACAAACAAGAAAACGTGAACAAAAACACCTGCTTAAAAATATCAACCTCCATATGATGCCTGAGAGTAAAAATCCAAGAGTTCAGATACTGCAAATTACACTAATACAGCTGAAACACACAAAGCGAATACTCGATTACTGGAAAACTGAGATTATTCGGACTATCAGTATACTAAGAAAGCGACCAAAAAAATCCCAAAATTCGTTTAAAAGAACGACGAGTTCATCTACAAGGCTGAATCTGCATTTCAATTGCACAACACAGATAAGCGTTGTCTTCCTACCAGGCACACCCTCGGAGAGCCCAGCAAACAGGCTTGCTGTTTGGAAATAAAAACGCGTGAGCACATAAGAAGCCCAACACCACAGAAAAATTTGCTGCAAAACCATAACGGGAACGGCACAGGCACTACAGGGCAGCGAGGCTGAAGCCTGCGGTGCGTTAATGCCTCGCACAGGGTCGCTTCCTTGTAAGTAACTAGAACCTGAGCAGAGTTTCGAGTCCTAAAACTGGACACCGACAGCTGCTTCCGCTGTCACCTCCAGAAACAAACAGCAGCCCGAGGCACCCTGGCTTCCCAGCCCGGCAGCGAGGGGCTCGGGCCGAAGGGGCAGCAAGCCCGGCCTTCGCCCGGTACCACTGTGAGGTAAGCCCCGGACCGGGCCCAGCCGGAGGCGCGAAGG